GTGCAGCCAAGTTGCTTCCTGCCTGACTCTGAGTAGCTCCCTCTCCTATTTTTCTTGTTTATTTTTGGTTTTCATCTCTTATATTACTGGAGATGAAGGCACCTGAGAATGTTTCCTAGGAAAATAATGTAAACGAGTTTTTAAAGTGAATATTCAGGATTTATTTTTTTTTAAATCAGGCTGCAGAAGTGTTTCTATCACACCTGTCCCCCCAACATGACTTCCAAGTCATTCTTTTCTGAGTAGCCAATGTAGAAAATTAACTGTAATAGTGGTAAGTAGATTCACAAATCTACTAGGCCAAGCCGACTGCATAATATTCACACCTCTGTGGCTAACCCATGCTTTTGAAAATGGGGATAAAGGTGGTGTAGCTCTTGCAGCTGCTGATTGAATCCAAGGCAGTTAACAATGATATCCAAGCAAACTATTGCATGCCAATTTCTTAACTTCTTCAATTCTTTCCCTTCAGACTTGAGCTTTTCCTAATAATATGTTCAGCTTAGTGGACTAAAAATAAAGTGCAGATTCTCACAAAAATGAATATAGTAAAGTTTTTACAGTTGCCTTTTTAAACAAAAAGGCCATTTAATTAATATTATTTATCAATGTCAAGAACTTAAAACCAGACCATCTAAATTACAGAATACTAATACTTTGAAAAAATATGTGTGCTTTAATCTTTGCAATTTTCTCATGACTTTTTTTTCCCCCAAACCAGGTTTTTGATTCTAATCTGAGGAAAGAAGATATGAAAATTTTGAACACTGAATAACAACAGAAAATTAATTTATCTAACCTATTCCCTGTGGAAAGAATAATTTAAAACCAGATTGTTCTAAACTGGAAAAGTGATGTAACTGGAACATTGATTAATTTAACTGAACAATAAATCTGAATTGTTCTCTTAGGTACTCAGTATACTCAAGAATCAGTATAAATGGTTTGTAGTTACTCTAACGTAACAAATTAATAAAATAATTTAATTTAGTCTTTGTAGCTTTCTTAAAGATGCAGAAATACTTTCAGTGCCTTCTCTGCTCTCTTAGAACTTTCTGATATAGTCTCCCAGTATGGGTTGAGTTATCTCACAATATTATAATTTTTTTCTGCCTGCATGTACTTCATTTAAGGTGTCCTTTGAACCCATTTGAACACATTAATTAGGCATATTTTTTTCCTTACAGATTTTGAAAAGTATCAATTACTTGAAGGCACGTAAGAGCATGCTACAATGCATGTAAATCTTGATGAGTGATTCAAAATATGGAATATTTGTTCAGGGATTGCAGCAGAATAATGAATCCAACTTTTTTATTTCTTCTAGTCATGACAATTTTGGGGGATTCTGCAGGCCATTCTTGGTATTTTCTTGGTGACCAATCCTGCACTCTGGTACTGTTTCACAGATTTCCTGTCAGGACCCAGCACTTCACAGAGGAATGACTCCCTTTGTGACTAAGTTGCATCAGGATGAATAAAAGTAGTTTTTGCATATATGGGCAAAGACTTTTGAAAAATGCAGAAGAATGATGTGTTGGAGAAAAATCCTTTGCTAATCTCTCTCACAGGGATTGTCACTATCTTTTCAAGATGGATAGTGTTCAGACACTCCTCTGATGCAATTGTGAGTTGTCCAGCTGCACTGGGACAGTTTGGTCTGGTGCTGTCAGAGGCCACCAGTCTTTTGATATGCAGGCATTGGGTGGACCCCAGCTTACAGCTTCTTTTCTGACAAGATCAAAGCATTTTCCTGCAAGGAAATTGCTCTGTGACTAGCCAGGTTTCTGCAATCCCTACCACACTAAGCTGTCACTGGAAGTTCCACAAGAACTTTGGCTGCCACACAGTATTAATTTGTTGTTCATGACATTCCCTAAAATGGGAGTTTCTGCTCATCCTGAAAGCTACGTAAGAGCATTTACATACTCAGATCCCAGTGAAAAATGTGTCTGTCTATGGATGCTAGTAGACATGGTGCAGAACATTTTTTTTAACCAGTTTAGCCAGGTGAGGCATCTGTTTTGTGTCAGTTTGGTGTCCTGATATGTACAACCTTCTTGCTGGCATTTGACAGAGACCTGCATTCTGGTTATTTCTGAAATGCATGAGTAACACTGTGTTGTTCTTTCTCCTTATTCTGACCATAGGCAATTCCAGAGTTCTCAAAGGAGCCATGTATACACTGGATTTCTGTAGTAGGAGTGCAAGCTTCCTTATCAGTGGACAAGGCAGTTGGAGAGGTACTGAGAAAGAGTTCTCATTCTGTTGGTGGCTTGTTCTCCAGGTGAGGCTAGAGTGTAACCCTGGTGTAAACCCCCTTGCTAAATACTTGCCAGCTACTACAGTTTTGGTAGAGTTGGCTGGACAAGCCTGAGTCCTGTGTTTGTGGTTTGGCCCTTGTAAGCAGGTTAGAACCTGTGCAGTTGAGCCATGTAAACCTATCTTCTCTGAGGGTTTAGACAGCCTTCAGTGCAAATCCAGCTGATCTGGCTCCATTTGCCTGTGAAGAGTGAAGCTATATTTCAGTTTCCTCACTGCCAAAATGTCAAGAAGGCTGTAAATGTGTGTGGTCATCTAAGTTTAATGAAGCTTTTTGTGATACAAGTGTCCAGCTTTCGGAATGGAACTGAAATTGCCTGCATATTTTGCCCAGTGCTGCACCTGGATTGGGGCAACTCCTTGAGGCTGAGAGAAGCAGAGGTGAAGGACTTGGGGGTGCTGGTGGATAAGAGGCTGGACATGACCCTGCAATGCAGCTCAGAAAGCCAATTGTACCCTAGGCTGCACCATAAGGAGTGTGGGCAACAGCTCAAGGAAGGGGATTCTGCCCCTCTGCTCTGCTCTGGCCAGACCCTACTTGCAGTGCTGTGTCCAGCTCTGGGGTTCTCAGCACAGGAAAGACATGGACCAAACATGGTCAGAGCAGGTCCAGGGGAAAGATGCAAATAATGATCTCAGGGCTGGAGAACCTCTTATGAGGAAAGGCTGAGCTGGGTTTGTGCAGTCTGGAGAAAAGAAGGCTCTGGGATTACTTTCTTGTGATGCTTAAGTCTATAAAGGAGGCCCTACAAGAAACCTGGAAAGGGACTTTTTACAAGAGCATGTAGTGTCAGGCCAAGAGAGTGGCTTCAAACTGAAAGAGTGTGGGCTTAGTTTCAATATTGATAAGAATGTCTTTGCTGTGAGGGTGGTGAGGCCCTGGAACAGGTTGCCCAAAGAAAGGGTGGATGTGCCCATCCCTGGAAGTGTTCAAGGCTAGGTTGGATGGGGCTTTGAGCATCCTGGCCTAGTGAAAGGTTGATCTTTAATGGACCTTAAAGATCACCCAGTTCCTATTCCTGCCCATGGCAATGGAATAGGAACTGGGTGATCTTTAAGGTCCATTCCAACCCAAACCATTCTATGGTTCTGTGATTCTACACAGCCTCTGACAATTTGCTGGGTGTCACATCTCTGAGCTGGTATCCTCTCAGCTGGTAACCAATAGCCTGGACATCAAAGCCTGCACATCTGACTAATGAAACCGTGAATCATTCTGTCCTTTAATTAAAGCATGTTCCTTTAATATGTTCCTCTTACTTAAAATTATGTGAGAATTATTTCCTAGAAGAAAATGCCTAATGAATGCACTTTTATTTAGTATTTTCTATGTATTAGATAAATAAGGGGGAAAGCTTGAAATATCCTGGGGTATGTTGGGCAGTTGCAGGGGATACATATGTCAACCTCAAGCATGATTTATCTCATGTGCCTTTTCTGACAGTGGTGACTTAACGGCTGCATTTTTCTCCAGGCTCTCAGGAGGATAAATATCTTTTTAAGTTTCTAGCTTTGTGGTAGAAGAGTAAATGTCTGTTTGCCACTGTAATTTATCTGAGTCATTCTGGGAGAGGTGGAGCAATTGAAGCGTGACTATTAGCATAAATAAGGGGACCCTCTTCCTGAGGGTAGAATACTTGTGCTGTCTTTTCCCCATAACAACTGCTACAGCTAATTGATGGGCAAAATGCTTTAAACTGGAAGACTCAATATATTGTGCTTTGGCCTACTGTGATATTCTTTTACATTTCAATTTGGAGTTAACAAGAGCAGAACAAGGAAGGAAGAAGAATATTTCTGCAGCAAGTGCAACAGTAGAATACACCAGAGCTGGCATTTCACATACACCAAAAGTGGTTTTTCTTTTAAAAAGAATATACAATATATTCTTTTAAAAGAGTGTTAAGTAGTTGCCCTTGCCAATTTTGTTCCTGAAAAAATGCATAAAAAATCTTTTCTTTGTACTTTCAAACAGTTGTTTTACAACATCCTCTAAACAGAGTTTTGGGGTTTGGGGTTTTTTTTAGTTTTTGGGTTTGGGTTTTTTGATTTTGTTTATTCGTTTGTTTGGGGTTTTTTCATGTGGAAACACCAACACCGATTCCGGGGGGAGCCGCTGGTGAGTCACTCTGCAGGCCCAGGAGTGCGGGTAGCAGCCACCGGGCCTGCCACGGCAAAAACACACCTTGGTTGTAGTGAGAACATGGAAGAGCTTCTTCCAGGTGTTTCCTTAAACATGACTTACACAGTCCTGGAAGAGAAGAGGGAGAGCTGAGGTAGCATACGGGATACTGCCTTTGGCCATGGCCTTTCTGGGCCTACTCGGGGGGCAAGAAGCCGGGCGGGCGCGGAGCTGCCTCCGGCACCCCGCCAGGCGCAGGAGCGTGCTCGGAGCCGGCCGGGCCGTGCCAGCACCTACTTCCCGGAATGCCGGGGGTGCCCGGTGCCGGGAGGCGGCAACTCCCAGGTCAGGGACGGCTGGAGCCCTCCCTGCATCCCCCGGCCGGCAGGCGAGGGGGTCCCGCGGGGGAGTTCTTCGCCCCGCGCCTTCGTGTGCCAGGCAGGAACGCCAGCGCCCGCGGCTGCTCCCGCCCCGGCGGGCGGGACGGGGCAGGGCCGGGCTGGGAGGAGGGATCGGAAGGGCTGGGCAGCAGTGCAGAAACATTAAAACCACCGAGCCCCCCAGCCCGCCCACCGGAGTTGCTCCGCAGGCACGCAAGATGTGCGGGGCCGGTCTGGGCTCCGCGCCGCGCTTGAGCGAGGTAAGGCTCGGGGAGCCGCGCACTCCCCGCACCGCGGGGACGCCCCCGGTCCCAGCGCTGCGGTCCCCGCTCGGCGCGACCCCCGGGGCCACGAAACAAAACAGGAGAGGTGGGGAAGAGGCTACCTGGACACCGGCGTGCCCGGCTGCGTGCCGCGGGCAGCGGAGGCGGTGCGGGACGGGAGCCACGCGCGCTGGGGACCGGAGCGGGGCCGGAGCGGTGCGGGCTGAGCTCCGGAGCCGTGCGGGACAGGAGCGGTGGGAGTTTTATGTCCGGGAGCGATGCGGACTGGAGCCCGGGAATGGTGCGGGGAACCGAACCCATGCTTTGCCTCGCTTAGGCTGTAATTTAACAAATCTTCTTGTTCTTCTTTCCTTGCGTGATATTATGTGTTTAATTCTTTTTAAATGTCCACTACGAAACCTTTATGTGTAAAGGGGGTTTCCTCTGGATGCGTATTCCTTAATTATGCCAATTTCAAAAGCTTGCCATACGAGTTATTTAAATGCAAGGGGGTTTTTTGACATTCTTTGTTTCAGACCCATGGAATGGGCTTGCTCTCCAGCTTAATTCCATATTTTTCTTGTTTTTCTAAACTTTTTACTGCTGTGGGCTTTGTAAAGTATATTCTTACTTGTATTTAGCAAGGGCACTCCTTACCTGTTTACAGCTTTGAGATGATCTCTTGTTTATATTTACATCAGTGAATTTACCACTGTTTGAGATGGCATCAGTAAATTGCATAACTACCCCCTTCCAAAGTGTATTGAGACTTTATTAAGGGAGAAGAATACGGGTCTTCTGTCAAGTAATTTCTGTGCAGACTTTCGTACATTTAGAGTTAAATCTAATCAAGCAAGCCCTTTCTCTTTTTTAATCTCTGCTGTTGCATTTCCCACTGAAGAAAAAACACTAGAACTTACTGCTGGGGAGCTTTGAGATCTTTTGTGTTGGAAGTAATAGAGTCCTTGCTGACTCCAACTTGTTCAGTTCTGCATGACAGAACTTTTTTTGTCTTATTAGCTTTACCTATTGAATATGCCTAACCACCTTTTAAACATATTTTACCAGCTGAATGAAACTGATTCATGTGTGAATACATTTATGACTCTGATGCACAGTTAAAACAGCAGATTATTTTAAACCCTTTAGCATTTGCTACACTATTTGTCTTCCTTTCTTTTAAGTGTGGGTTTTGTGCCTCTTGTTCTCAGGGCTGCAGTTTGTGAGGCCGTGCAGCAGTGCCGGGCAGGCTGTGGGGCCAAGGAGCTGCGGGGCAGCCACCGGGTTTGCGGTCGGCGTCACCATCCGGTGGCCGCTGGGGGAGCAGTCCCCAGCCAGGCACCATGAACTCCGGCACCACTGCCCCGCAGAAGGTCACCAGCAACCCCACCAACACTGATGTCAACTATGTCATCAAAGAGCATTATAATTACACGGGAAAGCTAAATGAGAGTGTGGACACTGGAATTAAAGTGACGTCGGTGGTTTTTATCATCATTTGCTGCTTTATAATCTTAGAGAACATTTTTGTCTTGCTTACCATCTGGAAAACCAAGAAGTTTCACAGACCCATGTACTATTTCATTGGGAACTTAGCTCTTTCAGACTTGCTGGCTGGTGTGGCTTACACTGCCAACCTCCTGCTATCTGGACACAAAACCTACAGCCTGACCCCCAACCAGTGGTTTGTAAGAGAAGGCAGCATGTTTGTTGCCTTGTCAGCTTCTGTGTTCAGCTTGTTGGCCATTGCCATTGAGAGATACATCACCATGCTGAAGATGAAACTCCACAATGGCAGCAACAGCTTCCGCTCCTTCTTGCTGATCAGTGCGTGCTGGGTCATCTCCGCCATCCTCGGGGGGCTCCCGATCATGGGCTGGAACTGCAAGAACCTCTTGTCCAACTGCTCCACCGTGTTGCCTCTCTACCACAAGCACTATATTCTCTTTTGCACAACCGTTTTCACTGGCCTTTTGTTATCTATTGTGGTCCTCTACTGCAGGATCTACTCCATGGTGAGGACTAGGAGCCGCAGGCTGACATTTCGGAAAAACATTACCAAAGCTACCAGGAGCTCAGAAAAGTCACTAGCCTTGCTCAAGACAGTGATCATAGTCCTGAGTGTCTTCATTGCCTGCTGGGCTCCTCTGTTCATCCTCCTTTTATTGGATGTGGGGTGCAAAGTGAAGACCTGCCCAATCCTCTATAAAGCAGAGTATTTCTTAGTGCTGGCCGTGCTCAATTCAGCCACGAACCCTATCATCTACACCTTGACAAACAAGGAGATGCGGAGGGCTTTCATCAAGATTTTGTGCTGCTGCACATGTCCCCCAGCAGATTCTGGGACCAAATTCAAACGGCCAATCATTGGGGGCATGGAGTTCAGCCGGAGTAAGTCTGACAACTCCTCACACCCACAGAAGGAGGACGGTGACCATCCTGAAACCATCATGTCTTCGGGCAATGTTACCTCATCTTCTTAGGAGTAACCATGAGGGTGTATTTCAGAGTCTTCCTCTGAAATCAGGGAGCTGGGACGCCTCCTGCTCACAGCAGCAGCGTTGGGCTGAGTGAGCAAGTAGCATTAGTTCTAATGAGGCAAACGGTGCACTTGCGAGACTGGAGTTCAAGAAATGGGACACACTGTTCTGGCTTGAAAATCTTTTTCCCTGGAGCATGTTTTGTCTTTGCGCTGAGGCAGCTCAGGATTGTCAGGCGCATTCATATCCTGAAATCTCCTTAGTAACTCTGAAAGACTGATGCCTTGGTGAAATGATGCCTGGTGTGTGTGAGAGAAAGAGAGAGGGGGAGGAGGGAAAGGGAGAATGAATTTTTTTTTTTTCCTGTGAGAAGAATGTGAAGTTTTTTCTCTTCACAGCAAACCACTGACACAAAGATCTTTCTGTACTGAATTTAGTGGTGTTTGTTTAGTACTTAACATGGAAGGAGATCACACAAATATAACTTAGACCACATACAACCATAATTGGCATAATTTTGCAGAGCTTTTAGTTAAGTCACAAGGGTTTGTTCGCAGAGTCCAAAGCTCTTGGGGTTTTACTTAGCAAGATCATAGCTGTGAATTTTTGCTGTCAGTCTGTATTACATTTGAAGACCATGAGCTAGATTCTGCAGTTACTTTCGCCTGTACAATTCCATTGGCTAAGACAGACTTAATGGAGTAGCTCAGAGGGGCATTTGGCCCCATATTTTAATTGCCTTTTTATTCTATAGCATTAAACTGCATTATCATGAAAAATGCAAGAAAGAACTAAATATCATTTCTCTTCAAGATGACTTGAATGTCTACAAAATAGTAAAAAATACTATTGACAACAGTGGGATTTTTGCCTAAGTAAGAAGAGCTAAAAACTGAAGGGGTATTTGAGTGTCAGTTTCACAGTCTTTCCAAAAGTAAGGATCAGTTGGAAAATCAGAAAAGAGTACATCAGGTTTCAGAAAAAATAAAAAGAAAGTTGAAGTGAAATGACTATAGATAAATGCACTTCCATAACAAAATGCAATACATTTTGGCACATTTTATTAATGTTTATAATTTCAGCAAAGATGTCTGTATTTGATCATGGAAGAAGTACCTGTTGTTAAATTGAATGTATTTCAGCATCATTTTTACTTGTCTATTTTTCTAACCTGTGCTAATGGGGTTGAATGTGTATAATGTAAATAAGATACAGGAGTCTTCATGCACCTAGAGTGTTACTATAACAAATGTGGTATATCTGGGATAGCTGAGAGCAATTGACTTATCTACAGTCATCAGCAACTCCTAGGACTGGTATTTTGTAAAAAAAATGTATTGCCTTTGTAGTAAAATTTCCAGTGCAATTAAACTGTTGGGGTTTTTTTTCTGGTTTAAAAATAGTATTTAAAATGTTTCTGACTTTTATTGTTCAATTTGCACATAGCTTTATTGACTTCTAAACATTAATAAACTGATTTTTTAAATGAGTCTATTATCAGATTACTAGCAGTTTTGTACTGTTGTGGTGGTTTCATGCCATGTGTGGTTTCCACAGAAGTTGGTGAAAGAATTCCTCGATTTTAGTACATGCTGGGATTAAGTCCATTCTGTAGGGACATAACGTGTAATATCACAGGATTATGTAAAATACAGAACTAATTTTAAACTATAACTTTCTTGTCGGCATGTGCTGTATGGCTGAAATGCCACTAGAAGAATCTCTACAAGAGCAATTCTCCTCAGACAGCCTATGAAGTACAAACAGAAGGAAAACCAGACAGTTGCTAGTTTTACCATGACTGCCTAGAGTAGAAAAGTGAAGTAATTCACTTGTATCACCAGTATAATTCATAAGTTCAATTCTCAGCCTATTGCAAACGTCAAGGAAGTTTATGAAACACAGGATGGTGGCTCAGCTGCGTGAGCGCTGCAGCTCCGTTGGGTCTGCCAGTGAAGGCCATGGCAGTGTCGTTGAACAGATACTGCCTTACTTTTCCCAAAGGTTTGACTTCCATTTCCTTTCCAGTGGCCGTTCCCTCTCAGAATTACTTTTAAGTTCCATGGAGCCCGTACCGGATGCAGTTGGAGAGCGAAGATAAACCTCACCTTCTCGTACTGTATGTCATCGCTGTGCAGGGCTGACTGTGGGAAATGAGAGCCTACTCACCGAGGAAGGCTCTGGGTCATAACCTCACTTCCTGAAGGAAATTCCAAAAATGCCCTGAAGACAAAAGAGTGGAAGCAGGCTGGAATTTCTCTCCATCTGTCTGCCTGTATGGAAGGAATGATTTCATGTGTGCTCACTTCCTAGCCTTTTAAATAGTGACCTGAGCAGGGCTGAAAAAAGCGTCAAATCTGTATTTGTGCACAAGATAAAGTGTCTCTTGGCTCAGGCCTTCATTTGGGCAGGGATGGTTTACCCTGGCTGCTGACAGTCATGAGGGAAAGCACTGCTTTGTCCCAGGGATAAAGTCACTTCTGTGCAGAGCAACGAAAATGTATAAACCATGGAAGCCCAAGTTAAACCCTTGTGCTACCAATGAGTAAATAAATGCAATGTACAGGGATGAGGCAATGCACAGGGACATCTGAATTTGTAGGGGTGTTTTTATCTGAGGGACTGGGACCCTTCTGCTCCTGAAGCCTTGCAGGCATTAATGTTGTTTGTCCCACACATCTGAGATCCTGTGACAAAGGCTGAGCTGTGTCATCTCAGCACGGTGCCACTGACCCCTTGTGACTACCACCCCATTTCTGTACTAGGAGCTGATAGCCACAGTTGAGTCATTTCCCTTCCCTTCCTGGTGTTTCTGTATCCCTTGCTTATCTCATCTAAGCACTGTGTGCCTTTGTGGAAAATGACAGTTTCCCCTGTGGAGGTGACTGTGTGATGGGAGCCCAGTTCTGGGAGGAAACTCAAAGGCCTACGTAATGCACTCAGTAAAAGATGTGCACACCCTAGAGTGTGGCACTGGGCCATGGGAAGCATTTCCTACACTCCTGGTCATGGTGACTGAAATCTGCTTCTTCCACAGATACTCCACATGCAAGTAGACAAGATTTGCACACGCAATAATAGCTGTAATAAAATAACAGCATTAATACCAGTAAGGTGAAAAAAATGAAAAAGCCATTTTGTCCAGCTCCTCAGCCATGGCCATGCATTCCCATACACCAGCAGGTTATGCCAGAGCTACCACACAGTTTTGAGGGCTGCAGTGTAGAAAGCACCCTTCTGAGCCCTGGGCTGCCTTTTGTGTGCCTGGAAAGGGCATGCAGCTTTGTCCTGGTGATGGCCATGTGACAAACAGGCAGAGAAAATGAACTCAGAACTGAAAAGGTGCATTATACCGAATGTCTACGTGAAATACAATAGCCTGAATTATTCAGAGCAACCTGGTCCTTTGATGTTTATTCTTTTTCCTTGCTGTTCTTCCAGTGCAAGGAATAGAACAGGGATAGAAAATTATCATAAAATCTGTCTGTTACTTCCCTGGCAACTCCCTGCCCAGGTATTCTGTGTGAGAGCCAGGTATAGCAGGCTGCATATTGAGCAAGAGAGGAGCTGCAGCTGGAATGCCCCATGGACCACTCTGCTGGAACTAACCTTTGGCTTCCTGTACACCACAGGCTGCCAGGACTAAAATAGGGAACAGAAATGTATAAAAATACTGTTATCCATCCTTATTTTATCCTGTCACCTAAGAATTGCCCAACTGTAACATTCCTTAATTCCTAATCTGGCCCAGAAGATCTCAATACTGATTGCATTTTGTATGGGATGAGGCATTATCAGATGTTGTAAAAAGGGTCAAACTGACAAAGCATTCAAAACCATGGGTACGCAAACTAGAGCTATGTAACCTGCTCAGCTCTGAAACGCTGGAAATTCCCCAGACTTCTGAAGTTTGCCAGAAAACATCTATTGTATTTCAATAATTCCCCATATGTTTAGTTGTTTTTTTTTCTTTTGAAAAGGAGATTAATTCAATAGAACAAAAGTGTCAAGATTTAAGAAGCAAACAAAGAAATTCTAAACAAAATCCACATAATTTAAGTTCCTGTAATTTCACACTTTTCTAATCAAATCTATTTACAGATTGAAAGAGTTTGCTTATTAGCTATCATCTGATTTATTGTGATAGAACCTTATTTCATTTTACACAGTTAACAAGAATTGCATAGGGTCATGAAATCTCCCTTCAACTATTACTCTATGCAGAGGATTTTCTATGGTAATTAACAGTTATTGAATCCACTCTGCACACATAAGCTATAAGAGCATGTGGCACAGTAACTTGTACAAGTTTTGTGATTAAATAAGAATTTAGAGAAACCTGGTAGCCAATCAGCCAGTATAAATTACAGTATAATCCAAAAGATTGGGTGTGTCTGGGGGTTTTTGTTGGTTTGGTTGGTTGGTTTGGTTTGGTTTGGTTTGGTGTGAGTTTTTTGTAAGTTTGGAATGTAATTAGTGTACACTTAGGTGATCCACTGAAGAGAATGACGATGTTAAGGACCACATCCCCTGCAGCACCAAGATGACTCAATGCTTGAGTGTCAGGGTTTGAAGCATTGTATCAGGGCAGCAGCAGCAGATATTTGTGCATGTACAATACAACATTGTATGGGAGCTCCCCAAGCCCTCGGTGCTGCCCAGGCCCTTCCTCTGCTGAGCAGCCCCGCTCGGCAGCTGAGCGGGAAGTGTTTCCTTGCACTTGGAGCTTCCGTGCTACCTCCACAGGACAAAAAGGCAGGAAATCCCTCAGCCACACCCAGGAATGCTCCGGCTTGGAAAAGTCCTAATAAAGCAGAGCTCACAAAGCTCTGTCAACCCTCTGTGAACCTTCCACCCAGCCTGGGGCAGCAGCCACATCATGCAAACCTGATACAAAAGGCAATATTTATTTTGAGCTTTTGGGAATGATTGCTTGGAGAAGACCCATTTTTAGGTGCATGGTACATAAAAACAGCCTGTCAGAAATGTATGTGACCCAAACCCATAAAATATTAAGATGCATCCGTAGCAATTGCAGTGTTTATTCCAAATCACTCTACTCAGCTAAAAGTGGGATTAAAATACCAAATGCACAGTTCTGAAAACAAATGGACATTTGGAAAACACAGGCTAGAGGGAAATCACCAAATAAATACTGGGTTAAAATAATCTGCTGGGCTTTGTGAAATCATGGATGAAAACTGTTTCACTACCTGGGGAAAATCTGGTGTGAACCACAGCTGACAGCTGACATTTACAGGTCCCGACCTGAGCTGTCTGCTAAAGGTAGCTTTGCTCTCAAACACAGAAACACTTGGCATAAGCCAAGACTTCTTGACTTAGCAGGATAGTGGTGTAAATTGCTGGAATACTGTCTCAAATTCTTGCCCATGCTGAGCAGCCAGAGCTGAATAATGTGAAGGTGAGGGTGTGAAT